GTTTCCTCAGTCTATGAGGACCATTCAGCTCCCGCAGTTGAGATTGCTTGTAAGTATCCTCCTCCTCCTCCTCCTCCTCCTCCTCCTCTTTTCTCCTCCTCCTCCTCCTCCTCCTCGTCGTCGTGGTCGTCGTCGTCTTCCTCCTACTCTTTCGTCCACTTTCGCTTTCCGCCCTCCCGCCCTCCCGTCCTCGTCGTCCTTCTTCCCGCCCCTACCCTCCCCCCCCTCCCCCTCCCCCCTGCTTCCTCCTCTCTCATACCACCACCACTATCACCTCCACCTCCTTCACTTCCTCACCTTCCTTTCTAACCTTCTTTTTCTCCTTCCTCTCCACCATCCCCTTCTCTTCCTCTCCAACACTCCCACATTTCCTCTGATTTCACTCTGACAAGAAGCATCTCAACAGGCTTCATCTCAATCAGAATCATCGGAATGGGCGTTGGCCATCAACAACAACGTGATGAGTTTGGTCGAGTCAAGATCGTCATTGCCGAGCATAAACATCAAAGTCAACGATCAAAGTGATGGATCATTGTTTGTTCCGATATCAGCCCTCTGACATTGGTGTCAGCCCTGGATAACTCGAAACGATGGGACGTAACATCTCCAATAGGTTGTCAGTTGTTGTTGTTGATGATGATGATGATGATGTTCTTGTTCTTGTTCTTGTTCTTGTTCTTCTTGTTGATGATGATGATAAAGATGTCGATGGAGATGATGGTGATTATGGAGGAGGAGGAGGAGGTAATGATATTGATGATGGAGATAATGATGATGACAATAATGACGAGGGCGACGTAGAAGATGATTGAGATGATGATCATGATCATGATTGAGATGATGATGATGTTTGATGGAGAAAACGTTGACAATACATCTTGTTCTGCTTATCATTTCTTGTATCGTCTGTTCACTCTTATAAAACCCTCACAATCGTGCAATCCAACCTGAAATCAACAAGTGACTTCAAGTCTTCTCCAGAGACAAACTGGAAGTCTGAAATGTCTTCCTACGGCATCTTTCAATCGACCAGTCAAAGTAATTTCTTGGACTCTGAGCCGCCTCAAAACAACAGCATACAAGCCCATGGTGCGATCAACCCGTTCAACCTCCTTGCTCATACCGAAGGAGCGGGTGGGGGAGGCGCGGGAGCGGGGGCAAGAGGAGCAGGAGGAGCGGGAGCGGGAGCAGGAGGAGCGGGAGCGGGACAGTCGGAGGCAATCGGGACGGAGGCAAGAGCAACGATGATGAATGAGGGAGAATCAGGAGGGGGAGGGGAGGACAGTGCAGGAGGACAGTGGCAAGTCTTCTCATCGGATGAGGTCAGTGTGATGTGCGGAGGAGGAGAAGTAAGATTTGTTGTGCAGAGCATGAACGGAGAGCCTGGCAAGGAGAAAGAGGAGGAGAAGAGAACAGAGGAAGAGGATGGATCGATGACCAGCATGGACCTTGCTTCCCCTCTGTTGGAACATTCCCTGTCCGTGGGGATGAGATCAGAGGAAGAGGAGGTCCCAGCTCGGAAGGAGGAGAGAGGGAGGAGGGAGGAAGTAGACGCTCGGAAGGAACCAGTTGCATATCGGGCAGTGAGGTCGACGCGGAGGGAGGAGGAGCATATGATAGGTAAGTCAGGAGGAGATGGGAGGAGAGGTGGCGAGGA